TCTTGCTGGACACCTCTCTTATAGACTAAATCAACCTAAAAATGTCCCTTCATATCAGTTTGCTGTGTTGCTTTTATCAAATCATATTATTCAAACTAAATTTTACTTTCCCCTGCCATAGGCTCTTGGAGACATGGTGGAAAGCATTGCTGGTGCAATACTCATTGATACCAATCTTGACCTGGACAAAGTTTGGAGAATCTTTGAACCACTATTGTCTCCAATAGTGACTCCTGATAGCCTAAAACTCCCTTCATTACGTAAACTAAATGAGATGTGTCACTCTCTTGGGTACTTTATAAAAGAAAGATGCATACAAGTGGGAGACATGGTTCATTCTGAGCTTAGATTGCAGATGGAAGATGTCTTATTAGTTGGAAGAGGCTGTGAAAGAAACAAAAAGGCTGCCAAAGCAGCTGCTGCAAGCTGTTTGTTAGACGAACTTGAGGTTTGTTAGTTTCCTTAAGGATAAACTATTTTTGTTTTTACTACCCCTGATAATTTACTGAAGATGTGATGCTTGAAATGCAACAGAAGAAGGATATTTCAAAACCCAATGGCATTTCCAAGAGGAGAAAAAGAGGTTCTGATGAAGATGAAGATTTCATTACTTCTTCATTGGATATAAAGTTATGTGGTCATGTAACTGCTGAGGAATCTTGCAGCAAAGGAAAGGAAAAGATAACTGAAAGTCAATGTCCACAAGAATCAGCTAAAGCTTCCTTCTCAATCAATGATTGTTCTTGGAAAACCTGCAGCATCGTTCCTGCCATCCCAGGTTTGCTTAATCCCCTTCCTCTGTTTTTTTTTTTGGGGGGGGGGGGGGGGAGTTTCTCTAGATTAATTTTATGCTTGACTATAACTGAGAGATGCAGTGAAGTCATGTATGGTAGTCAGAGCTTTGTGTACATTGAGTTTTTAAACAGAAAAGGAAGGGAGAAATACTGTGGAAATTGCAATTTTTGTCGTGATTTGGAACATGTGATTGGAATGACATGCTTGTTTCTTTGTCCTTGGTTAAAATTAAAAATTCTGGAACTTCTTGGTCATTGTTGTAGCATGTTAAAGTTTCTGTTGGTTTCAGTTGCCCCTTCTTGGTTTCATGTTCAAAAGATTTTTCATCCTTCTCCCATCTAGTTGGAACTTGGAAGTGAATATGGCTGATGCTTTCATTGTACTCGTTCATTTGGCAGCCTAAAGTAGGATGTGATCGTTTAATGATAGCTATTCTATTTGTCTAATCTTTTATCTCTGTTCTTTTATATAATTTTTTATCTTTTACCTTTGTAGTTATTGGACCAATAAACATGAGCAAAGGTGGACCCCGGACCTCGATATTTGGAATATGCAAGACATTACAGTGGCCGATGCCAACATTCAGAACCAAAGAAACGAAATCCAGGTCATTTCAATCAACTTAGTTTTACATGATAATATTAATCTTCCTAAGCACTTACAAGGATTTAAGATGCAACATGACACATAAAAGCAGTATGAGGACAAATGTGATGTTTCGGTGCAATTTCAAGTGTCTTGTTGTGCTACCTCCAATCCATAATACTCCTCCAGTCCTAAATATAAGATTCTTTTTGTAGTGTGTATAAGGATTTTATATTTAGGACCAAAGGAGTATAATATTACCTCTAATTTTTAATATAAGAGTTAGTTGAGAGTTGAATTTGATCCTAAATACTACCTCCGATTCTAAATATAAAAGCTAATTGACTAATTTGAGTAAATTAAGAAAATACTACCTCCAGTCCTTAATATAAGACCCTGTTTGACTTTTATTTTGGTTCTATATATAAGACCCCAGTCCACTCAATTTTTTCCAAGATAGTCCTTCTAATAATTATAGTTCTAGTTAATACACTTGATTAGTAAAGATATTTTAGGAAAGACAACACTTATTTAGGACAAATAACTAACTCAATTTACTTTCTTAATCTTTTCAAATTAGTCAACTGACTCTTATAATTAGGACCAGAGGTAGTAAGTTAGTTAGTTAGTTGTAATAAATAGGTGTTGTCTTTCCTAAAATATCCTTACTAATAAAGTTTATTAGTTAGAACTACTATTATTACAAGAACTATTTTGAAAAAAAAAGAATAAATATGAGAAATAAAATAGATTGAGATCTTATATTCAAGACCAAAATAAAAATCAAACGAAAGCTTATATTAAGAACCGGAGATAGTATAAGATTTTGGTCCATTTTGTCTTTTATATTTATTATTTCTCCCAAACTAATTTACCTAACTTATAAACTACTACCTCCGGTCCTAATTATAAGACCCAATTGACTAATTTGAGGAGATTAAAGAAAGAAGTTAAGTTAGTTATTTGTAATAAATAGGTGTTGTCTTTCCTAAAATATCCTTACTAATCAATTATATTGGCTAGGACTATAATTATTAGAAGGACTATCTTGGAAAAAAAATATATCAATATGAGAGACAAAGTAGATTGGGGTCTTATATTTAAGACCAAAATAAAAGTCAAACAGGATCTTATATTAAGGACGGGAGATAGTAATAAATAATCTTATGTTACATTCAGGTATTTTATGGGGATCAGGTGACATTCGTTATAACTAACTAATTTGTCCGACTTCAGTTTGTATATTTTGTTTTTGTTCATCTACAGAACTCCGATTGAATTTGGAGAAGGCTCAGAGAAAAGATATGGTTTCAACAGCTACGTCTCTAAAATCAAGTTACAGATCCCAAACGGTGGCATAATGGAGTGTACAGGAGATCCTAAGGCTGACAAGAAAACTTCATTTGACTCTGCAGCTCTCGCAATGCTTCGTGAACTTGAACACCACCGCAGGATATCTATTATTAGGTCCTAACTCCTAGCCTTGAAGCCCCCTAATCTAAAAACCACCTATATCTGTGATATCAATCAATTTAAAAACAAGATGAAAATATGATATTTAACTTCATTCACTTTTAGCCAGGACGTCTAGTTTGAATTGAAACCTATAGCATTAATTTATATTTTTCTTGATAACTTACCTAGTTTACAGATATGTTTTGATTATAAATACAAAATTCTAATTCACTTTGTCTTTCCCATATAATATTGTTTGCCTTTGCATGGCTTTTTTTTCACTCATTTGTTCACTATAACTTTCAGTCTTTAATATCAGAGCTAGTTAGATTTTTTTATATTTATTCATTTTTTTCAGAGTAGTTTTCATGGTGATTATATATCTATGAAAGAATAGTTTCAAATTTTCAATATACATAATTAATAAGAATATTTAAAAAAAAACAATACTAATTTATTACACATAATTAACTTAATTAATTTTCTTAATATCTATAAATTACTTTTCTAGCTCTTATATTAAGAATTGAAAATAATATCATTTAATAATATCTCCATGTAAAAAACTCCACTCTCAACTTTAAATGATTAAACCAAGCCAAATTTTACGTAAAGTCCTGCATATTTTTAACATAATGATAGCAAATAATAAATTTAACCAACGTTTTTAATATCTCCGGTTAAGTAGGCCCTATATTTAGGAGTAAGAGTATAAACACATCCATGTGCATGCTTTTTAATAACTCATGATATTTGACCTAAGCGAAGCGTCGTTGCCTCACAAAACAATCTCCTTGCTGTTGTTGATAATGCAAACAAGTCTGTCAATCCACTGCAATTTGCCCAGACATGTCAAAGTGATCCAATGTCAGACTGGAAATTTGTTCGCGAGATGTGGTCTAAAACTGGGTTGTTTTTGGCATCTGCCATCCTTCTTTACATTAAATGCCAGAGTCTGGGTAAACCTAATCTTGTCGATACTTTTTGTCTGGTGCTAACTTTGCTCCTGACCACCTTCTGCAACTGCAAGGAAGTCTTTCATCTTGGGACGCCTTTTTGAAGGACCAAACTAGAAACATAGCTCTCCGATTTTTAATATAAGATCTATTTAACTAATTTAATTAGATTAAATAAGTTAGCTAAGTTAGTTAATTATAAAAAAATATCACATGTTTTTTCTAAAACACCATAATCATTTTTCTTAATATCCTTCATCTCTCATTTACTTAATTATAGTTGAGAGAGTATCCATAAAGATAATTTAGAAAAAATTGATAAATATGAAAAATAAGTCTCATATTTAGAACCAAAATTAACTTAACAATTAGATTTTACTTTAAGAACCGGTGTTTAGTTGTTTGGTTGGTCCTCATTCCTCAAACTAAGGATATTATGAGAAGTTTTTGGTAAAGACACACCTTGAATATTGGCCTTGCAATGGCATGATTGAGGCCTTTTGTTTGGTAAAGAGGCCCCTCCAAGGTGGGAATTGCCTATCACGCATGAAACAGTGGTTAACGGTGAACAAAATATTTATTTGCTATTGCCATTTATGCCTCTGTTTTTTTTTTTCTTTCTAAATCTTGAACATGTTTATTTATAAAATAAAATACTCTAACCTCTTTTATTTTGTCTTAATTACAGAGATCCCTATTTTTAAAACATATATTTTAGTCCAAGTTATTAACACCATTAAACAATATTCTCAAGAATATACAATATTCTCAAGATATTCTTGAAGTATTTTTTTTAATTAAAAACCATATTAAAATAATTTTTTCTTATTAATTTACCTCTCACTATGCTCAATCTCTAATTTATCTGCAAACATTAATATTTATTAATTATCTATGTCATATTTCTACTAAATTTAGACAAAATTTAAGCAACTTAAGATGTTAACAAGAAGATCCAAAAATTGAGTAATTTTTTAACGACATGTTTTATGAAATACATTTAAAAGATTTTCAATTATGACATATTTCTATAAGAATTTCAAAATTATATCATTTTTAATTGAAAATAAATATATACAACTGCAAAACATTTTCAGGCAACATCTATATTTAAAAGATCACATCAAAGTAAGTTAAATTTTAATAAATAAACGAGATTAAAAGATTTAAATTTATTGAAAGTTTTAACTTCGAAAATTGCAAGCATTATTACAGCTCAAGTCATTTTTTATTTCATTCTTTATTGCAAGCATTGTTTTGGTGTTAAGGATGGTCCCTTCCACAATCAACACAAGCATATCCCCAGCACACTCCACTTATGACCAGGTACTATCCCATAAACTTTAAAACCAGACGTATGGTTGACCGCATTACAAAGCTAAACAATGAAGGATTCCCTCATACAGATGCCAAGAGATATCACTCATACGTGGAAAGGACTTGCAAATAAACCAGTCAAACAAATTTTAAAAAGTTGACAGTTTAAATATGCCTTGAGAAATCGTCGTCTTCGCCGAGCTATGGATCGTGTGATACACATAACATGAGATCACATCCAAATACATAAAATTTACCATCCTGTCAAATGTGCTTTGGAAAAAAGTTTGGCATTCGGTTCATGATAGTCAACCAACACCAAACGAACTCTGTCTGTGAAGTAAAGTTGTGTGCTTTCCTGAGCCCCCTTTTCAAATCCAACAGGCAACAGAAAAGAAACTAAAGAACATATTAGAACTGTTGGCAACTCACGACAAAAACTTAACAAGCTAAAAACTACTAAAAAGATGAGCACTTGTATAGAAGAAATAAAATTCAACAACTTTCATGAAAGGATTTACGTAGACCTTGGAACACGAGCGACGAACAGGACAACTCTCCCCAAAATCCACAACCTATAAGACAACGAGGCAATAAGATAGAAGATGCATTTTGCATGATTTAAACTAATCACTCAATAAAACCAAAATGCTAGAATTGGAGAAACCTATTAGCTTCTAAATTTTTTTGTTATCAGATACCACAAAAAGAAAGGATAAAGGACAAAGAGAATTATCAACAACCATGAAACATGTGTAGAAATACCATATAATATTAGAAAACACAAGTTGATTGGCAAGGCATAGTGTAAAATGTAAAAATATCAACAAATAATGTTTCCATACATAGAGTCAAGTCCCTAACTGACACACTTGCCACGTAGGTACAATAAGCTTCCCCTGCTCGGAGTGGCTACGCTCCTGCACCTGCACTTCAGAGAACGATATGAAGTATGACCAATAAGGCAGATGCTTCGGATCCTGCTTGAACAAATCGGAAGATATTGTCGATAAATAGAAGTACATCTTGTTCATTGACATCTTGGAAAACTAGTCACTTAAAGCAGCAAGTGGCACATCCCACAAAAACATAAAAACAATCAGGAATGAAATTAGACTACAAGATTCATATTTTTTTAAAAAATAAAAAATTCCAAACAACTCCAGCTTCCTGGATTTTAGATAACACACTTGTCATATAAGCTTGCCAGGCCGCATCAAAAAATGAGGTAACACAAGGACGATAGCTTCCCTTTTGGAATAATATAATTACTAACACTCCCCTACCCCATTCATTCACCCATGGAGGGACAACTCTAACAAGCAACACAAAATGTCAACAATTAGTACCAATAAAAATAAAGGAAAAGGAGGAAACTAAGCACGATCGATAATATAGTAAACTCCTATCCAGCTAGGGAAAGACTTGATCAAGGATGTTAACCAGTTAACTTTCTCTTTAGCTGGTCCATATAACTTCCCTCTTTTAGAATCATAGTTGCATCATATTAAATATGACACTATTCAATAGGTAAACTTGGCTACAGCCAAGTTAATCAAAAAGATATTTTACAAAAACACACATGATGTGTACCAGAGTTAGAAGGCATATATAGCATGGAAAGATCAGACTTTAGCACAATCAATTCATTCAAATGATGCTACATAACAGAATACCATGCCATCTGATCGCAGAAATCAGCAAAACTTTAAAAGCTAATTTAAATCCTTGAAATTAATCTAAAACTATTATACACAACAATAATATTACAATAATATCCTGCATAAAGCCATTAAATCATAAATAGATCAGAAAAAGCCATATTACCATGTGATTAAAATGATTGAGGTCAATCGAAAAACATCAATCAAGGATTCTCCGTCAACACAAGCAATTTCTACGACAAATAATTATAAGAGCTATAACATTTGTGAGGCAGAATATAGGCAATAGTAAGATTACCAGGACTAAAGGATAGTTATGATTAAACTAAATACAACGCTATTCGTCTACAAAAAGCAGATTACGCCCCCTTAGCTCCACTGGCAAGCTGTTCAGCCATCTAAAAAACTCATTGTCACGCACAACGTCGGTGCTCCCTTTTAAAACTGCCTATTCGAACAACTAAGTCTTCAATGTGCAAATACGGTGTCATTCCGTCTAGGTGGTCTATCAGGAATAGTTCCTGGCTTGAATTTTGAAGCCTCATGTCTGGCCAATTCAGGAGGGACAGGACTATTACTCTGTATAAGCATCTGTTTGAGGTCATAAAAGACATCAGTGTCATGAAGAGTCAGGAACGTCGTAGCAACACCTGTCTTCCCAGCACGACCAGTACGTCCAATACGATGTGTGTACATCTCAATATTCCCAGGCATGTCATAGTTTATGACATGAGCCACATCAGGTATGTCAATCCCACGCCCTGCAACATCAGTAGCAACCAAGACATTATATCTCTTGGTCCTAAATCCTTCAAGACTAATCTCTCTCTGCTCCTGTGACTTGCCACCATGCAGAGTGGTTACACGGTAGCCATCCCTATCCAAATTCTTTGCAACCATGTCAGCATTTTTCTTAGTGTTAACGAATACAATTGCTGTCTTGTCATTAAGTTCATCAAGCAGCCGTTGCAGTTTGAAAAACTTTTCAGATTCCTTCATCATAATCACATGCTGGCTGATCAAATCAGTAGCCTTTCCTGCAGTGCCTATGGTTACCACAACAGGGTTCCTCAGGTATTTCCTAGCAAGCCGCTCAACAGCAGGAGGCATGGTGGCACTGAACATATAAGTAGTTCTGTAAATCCTCTTCTCATCAAGCTCTTCATCTTCATTTTCTGGTTTCAGATTGCTGGAAGGCATTGCATCCAGGACACCCATTACTTGAGGCTCAAACCCCATATCAATCATGCGGTCAGCCTCATCAAGAACAACATAATTGCACTGATTTAGGACAGCATAACGCCTCTCCAAGCAATCAATCAATCGACCAGGAGTGGCAATTACAATTTCACAACCTTGCCTTATTTTAAAACCTTGCTCTTCAATTGACTGTCCACCAACAATGGAAACCACTTTGATTCCAAGATACTGGGCAAACTTCACGGTCTCATCCTCAATCTGCTGTGCAAGTTCACGGGTAGGTGCCATGACAACAGCATAGGGACCCTCAGCCTCATTCTCTTCACTCATGGGAGGAAGCCTTGTGATGTAACTCAGCATGGGAAGCACAAAAGCAGCGGTCTTCCCTGAACCTGTCTCGGCAACGCCAATGACATCACGCTGCTGAAGGCCAAGAGGGATGGCAGCCATCTGAATGGGAGAAGGGGTTTTGTACCCAGCCTTCTCAACCGCCTTCAATAGCTCAAGACTCAACTTACTCTCAGTCCAGCTACGCATTGGACGAGGAATTTTAGAACCCTTGTAGGAAATATTGAAATCCTCCCTGAATATACGCCAATCCCTCTCAGTCATCTCCTCAAGCTTCTTCTCGCTCCAGTGGCGGTCAACTCTCATGTCAAAGGTGTCATAGAGGTCAGCAGCAGCCTCCTTTCGCCGTTGTGCAACAGCCTCTTCGGGCTTCTCCTCCACGCCCTCCTTCTTCCGGATCTGTTCACGCATCTCCTTCTCATTCTTAGCAGCAAGCTTCTTCTGCTCACGCCGGTCCATGCCAGCACGAAAGCCACGACCAAAGAGAAGCTGCGCTTCGTGAGGATTCTGGTAAAGAATGTTCATGTCACGAGAAGTATCCTCCGTGTTCTCCCAATCGAAAGAAAACCGAAACTTCTCACTGGGTTTGATAACCCGCTTCTTAGGCTTCTTCGAGCCAAGATACTGCTCCTTGATCGCTTCAAGCTCTTTCTCACGCTCCCGCTCTGCCAATTTCTCCGTCCGAGCACGCTCGCGGGCCCTAGCCTCCTCTTCACGCTCCCTCTCACGGTTCCTGCGTTCTGTTTCACGGTCCCGATCCCGAGCCCTATCTCGCTCACGCTCGCGCTCACGGTCCCGCTCTCTATCCCGGTCCCGGTCCCGGTCCCGGTCGCGGTCGCGGTCCCGTTCCCGTTCCCGGTCCCGGTCCCGGTCCCGGTCCCGTCGATCGGAATCGGAGGGTTTAGAATCAGAGTTCGGGTCGGATGGGCGGTTCCGAGAAAGCAGTTGTTCCTGACGGCGTCTTTGTTCGGCGATTTCTTCTTGGCGTCGCTGAAGAGCCAATTGTTCACGTTGAGCTTTCGTTAAGAACACCGGTTTCGAAGGAGCCGCAGCGGCGGAGGAGGCAGCCGAAGAAGCCAAGGGCACAACGATGTCATCGATCGGGCGTTTCATGGCTTCGAGTGTTGACGAAAATCCCCACCAAACAGGGAAATCGGGAATTTTGGGATCGCTTGGTTAAACGCAGGAGGGGACAGCGGGTGCATGCTCTAGTCAATCGTAGGATGATAGATCCCTCTTAACGATCTCATTTTCTTTGGCCCACTTAGTTCTAGAAGCAGCCCATTTTTCATGGGCTTATCACCCCTAGGTCCTAATTCATAACCTTTTTTGCCAGCCCAACATAACAATCTTTTCTTGTTGGGCCGTAATCATATACAATTCTTTTTCTGGTAAAAAAAATAGATATCCATTTTTTTTTTAAAGTTTGAATTCTTTTATCCAAAAAAAAAAGTTTGGATTCTCTATGTTTATATGTTTATATGTTTGGAGAAAAATATAACTAATAGAACTTGGGTGTAACGAAAAAAGTTAGTATCACACAACTTGATGAATTAATGTTCAAATTTTCATTAGGAAAATATACTTACATTTAGTACTTAACAGTGTTTCGAATAAAATTGTTTTAATAAAAAAATATCTGTCTATAAAAAAAATATAACAACAAAGAATGTAAAGTACTGGTTTAAAAAGAATATAAAAGTTGGCCAAAACTTTTTTAAAATAATATATTATTATGTATAATGTATATATTTCATTATTATATCCATAATTTATTTTTATTTTATTTCTCTAGATATTCTATATTATTTATTTCTTAGTTCAATTTACATCTTAAAATTCATATTCTTCCTAGTGATTATATATTTTAATTTTTTTTATATATCAACTAAATAATTTCTATCAAACATATGTTTGACAAATAAACTTCCTCTTTTTGACAAATTAAAAATCAAATACACTTGGAAATTCATATGCTCTTCTTGTTTGGCTTGGTAAAATTGCTCAGGCAGAAACGACGGCGTCTGTCGTTTTCCTATTTTTCGTATTTTAAGATTTATCATTTGAGTCTGACTTTAGCCGAAGCTTAGTGAGCTTCATCGCACCACGCATAGCTCAGGGATCATCGAATCTCTCATACCCGGAGACCATTCTCCGCCGTCGCCGATCGTCTGCGGTTCAGTACGTCGGGTGCTTTCTGTTCCACTGGGCATTGGTAAAGCTCCCTTTCGATCTTTTTTATTTTCTTCTTTGAATTCCCGATCTGTTAGAGTTGGAAAGATTCCTTTGAATCGTGGGGTGAAACGGATGCTTTGAAACTGGACTGATCTTTTCTGATTTTTTTTGGCTTACCGTTTTAGAGTAATGAAAAATCCTGGGACTCCTTTGAATTTGAGAAATTGTAATTGGGCCATTTTTGAAATTATCCTTGGAGAACAGTACCTGTACCTTAAAATGTTAACTATCCAAGTTTTGTACTACCATTATTGTAAGTAGCTATCTACAATGCCGGCATTAATTCCTAATTATGTTGATATGCATTTTACCCTCAGATTCTTCTCCGGACAGCTTTCCACTCTGTTGTTCGTTTGCAATTTTTTTATCTGCTTCCACCCTAAGAGATGGGCGCCTAAAAGAACAAAAAATCCTATGTCATATGACGATCGATCAAACTGAATTTTCTTACTGGATTGTCTTAGTAGTAAATAGTGTGTTTATATCAGCGGGGAGAGCTGAGAGATAGATTGAAAGGGTACTACGTTAAACAATTTGAATTAAACAATCAGAAATTAAATAAAAAGCCTTGGATTTAGCACTCTTTCCTGTGACTTATGTCTTTCACTTGGTGAGATTGTCTGTGTTTGACCCCATGGGGCTGCCATGTAAAGCTTAGTAAATGCATTCGTTCAAAACTTTCATGTGAATTAGTTCTGATCAAACTTTGATTATGGCATCTGAGCTAAAAAATCTTATTCTTGCAGGGGAAAAAAAAAAATTAGTTGGTGGTCATTGGCTAACATGAATAAGTTGTTAGACTTCGGAAGAAAAGCTTTATTTTATGTACGGGTGCTTTCTGGATATGAGGAGCGAAGAATACGATCTTTTAGGCTGCAACTGGAGAACCAACTTAAACAGGTGTGGCATATTCTCTTGTCTCAACAACAATCATGTTCTTGAATCAGTAACTGTTCCCTTTTAGAGGCTAATTGAGAAGATAAACATAGACAAATGAACTGCTGCTTTATTCAAGTGGAGCTGTGGTTCTATGCAAGGGAGAGAAGTGAGCCTCACATTTTAAAAATCAAGGGAGCCCTGCCTAATCTGAAGTGTGAGAAAGCACGAACTACACCTGTTAAGCAGGATAGTCTTCAGAAATCCTAGGCTCAAATTGTTTCAAATGTACCAAAAGTGAGGTATTTTTTAAATGGTAATATTCATGTTTATCAAATATCTGAATAAGGAGCAAATTCCGAAGAAGCAACAGCATACGATTTTCCAAAATAAAAATATGAGAATCCCAAAATATAGGGTAAACAACATAAAAAAGATTTGACTTTAATCCTTCTCCTTTTTCATTGCTGCTAGGCTCATTATCACAAGAGGCTAAAGTGGTTTTAACCTTCATTCTTTATGCACCAATGTGAATTTTTATCTGATGTGAACTGTCAGCTGTTCCTTGCTCTCGATTTCTTTCTGACATTTGTTATATCTACTCCCACTCTGGTGTGTATGGCATTTGATTATGAAAGGCACAAGAGAGGAAGGCAGCTTTGAACAAAGTACCTGAGCAGATTATTATATCTGAGGTTCGCCGTATGGTTGAAGAAATGCAGGCTTTAAACAAGAAGTTGGAAGAGACAGTAAGCTCAATCTCTTAACATTTTAAATGGTGGAGACTGAACTAAGAAGTTTAAATGTGATCCTTATCTGTCATTGACCAATTTGACTGGCACAGTATCAAATCTGAAAAGATTTTTATTTTTTAAAGGAAAACTTGTACTATATGCATCCCAGGACTTCTTATCTAGGATTCACATTTTAGTGCTCTTCTCTTTCAGGACCTACACTGGTTATTTGAAATAAAATTCTGTCCTTGTTTTCCCAATGCTGCATCACCCGCGTTCCCTCATGATTGTCTTTAATGAGACATTTTTCTATCATGTGAAAAAAGTTCACCTCTGTTTGATTGCGTTTCTTTGATTTTTCCTCTATGATTCATTGATATGAGGAACTCAAGCTAGTTGTAACTTCCATTCAGGAAGCAGCCGTTGAAGAATACTTCAAACCTATTGACGAGGAAGCCGAGATTATAATGAAAATGCATCTAGAAGGGAAAGAGAAAACTTCGGAAGAAATGCTAAAAGCAATGGAGCAACAGGCTTTACTTGAGCAAGTTGAAGCAGAAAAAATTTCTGCTGCACGCCAACTAGAAAAGTTCCGTGCCAACCAGAACCAGCCATCCACATCTAAACTCCCGGAGGAAGCTTCGCAAATTTTGAATGCCAAAAGTTAGGTACAGTTTTTAGGTATTTTTGCTATCAGGTTCTTATTCTATAACATGACAAGTAGGATTTTTTTCCCCTCCAACTTGGCGTCACATAGTTGGATCTTTGAAAAAATTTGCGTCTCGTGTTATGTTTTTATTGGAGAGCCTGATAACAAATATTCTAGGAAACTTTGATGACCACTAAAACCACCGGTGCTGGGTGTAACATTCAAGACGGAGAGAGAGCTTTTCTGTGGTTTGAGCGTTTGGCCATATCTCAAAAGTGGCAATTGTAATTTCTCCATTCTATGTTCCAGGGCTTCCTAGAAAATTAGTTGAGATGTCTCGCTGAGAGCGTTGAGATGACAAAGTTCTGTTTTGTTGTGCAAAATGGATCACTGTTCAGACATTGATGAGAAAATAATTGAGCTTAGCATGGGAAAAAGTGTTATATTAGAGGAAGTACACATCGTACAGTGCACAAGAAAGATGATAACTCAAGAAGTTTCGCAAGGAATGTGTTCATCTTTTCAACATTTAAAATCTGTTCAGATATATATTGAGAAATACTCCCTCCATCCTTTTTATAAGAAACAACTCCTATTATAGTGATTTTTTTAAATAAAAAATAAATCATCTTTGTCTAAAATTTTAAAATTGTCTTTTTATTTTTATCCCTATTAAATATGTTATTTATTATTTTTTTGTAATAAATTTGCATTCATTATTTTTCATGTAGTTTCTTTACAGACAAGATTATAATTGAAAAAATATTTTTTAATGTATGCTAATAAATTAGCGAAATCAAGGCATCACGGAGAAAATCTGGTGGGGGAGGCTTTGGTGCTTTTCAATGGAATGAGATGCCTTGAACTTTAAATCTTGCCTTGTATCCCATATATCATGACAAGTAAGATGCATATAAGCATTTAAGTCCACTAATAACAAGAATGTGGTCTCAACAAAGGATTTGTTTGGGGCACCAAATAGAGGGAAATGTAATAGGAAATGGAATTTAAAAAAATATTTTGAGAATTAGAAAGAATTTATTTTTATATTTCTTAAAAAGTAGAAAAATAAAATACAGGAAATAAAATTTAACTTATATTTTTAACCAGAAGAAGTATCTTTCAATAATGATTACAAGACATAGTAGTTATTGATGATAATGAAAATGAAAATGAACTCACTTTTCAGTTTTCATTGTAGTAACTAATCCAGCAAGACGTTGGCAAGAAAAACTTATCTAGCAAGATATAGGATTACTCTAATTTGGATAATATTTTATATACCTTAAAAGTGTAAAAATTTCACATTACATTACTTTTAGAATTAATTATTTTAATTTAATTTTCTTCCGTATTCTATTTGCACAAATTTTTAAAAGAAACAATAAAATAGGGGGAAAGAGTAACGCCAAAATCTAAAACCGAAAAATAACTTAAAAGAGAGTGATGCAAGAAAATGAAGACATTTGAGTGTCACTATCTACTTGATTAATGTGAATAATGGTCTTAAAAAAAAATCACCCTGAAATGAGAATATGTATAATGAAAAATTACAATCAAGTCCCATAAAAGAGAAATAATTATTAAAAAATCCTAATAACAATTTCAACAGCTTTTAATAACAAGTTGTATAGTGAGAATAATAACCTCTGGAACTTGTTTTTTAATTGTTTTCCTTGCTTGGAACCTCATTATAATTCTCCCTATATATTATTTACATTTCGCTCTTTTTTTACATAAACATGCACCCACAGATCCTCAAAAATTTATGAAGCTTCTCACTATTGATTGCCAGCGGATTTCCCTTCCTCCTACTTCACTTAACCCCGAGTTTGAAGAAGCAGTATAGTTCGAAACCAAAAAACTATTGAGAGGTCGAATTCCTCCCTCTCCTTTTGCTCGACAAATGGATTATTTTATTTTATTGGTTTAAAATTGATTTTCTAAAAGGGAATTTCGAAAACAAAAATAAATGAGGGTTGATTTTGAAACAAATAAGGGGAAAAAACAAAAGCTAATATAATTATGACATATGAAATCTATATGTATGTTGGCAAAATATATATGTATGTATGTATGTAACTTTGTTCTCTTGTTTCACTCTCTTTCCCAATAAAAGCGAAACAAGAGAACAAAGTTACATATATATGATGGCTCTCTTAGACACCCACACCTGTGCTTATATCTTTGCATTGACCATGATGCCTCACCTTTCAAATCAACCATGGCCTGAACATCCTCCAACTCAAAACGGAAGAGAACAGAGGCATTAAAATCAGAAAAACTATCATAACGAAGGCAATATATTCTTCTGGCAACACAATCAATGCATAACTGAATATAAAGTCATAACAAAGAAGTTGCAGAGACAGAAATTCAGATTTACATGCTTACAATGATTTAATATAATCAACCTTTAAAAGCTCAACCAACGCTTCACATGAATGAATGAGTTTTAGAAATGCTTCTATGGCTGTGATCTGGTTTTATAACACAGCTTGCTTCTTCTAACAAAGTCCTAACTTTAAACATTCCAATGATATATTGGCAATGTCAATGGTAGAGAGTAAAACAAAATTCTTAAAGAATGATAATTTAGGCAGTTTTATTTTTCACTCAAAGACCAAATTATGGCAGGTTTTGTCACAAGGGTAAGCACAACCAATAGCCTGGATTCCAACTCTGTCAAAAAACCAGTTTCCAACAGACTGTGCAATCCCCTGCATGTGTTTTAGCCATGTATTAGAGAAAGAAATAAGCCCTTAAAGCCCATGAAGCAAATATCAGAAAACTAAAGAGAAAAAATAAACATGGCATGCTAGGATTTGTGATTTAAATATACTTTTCTTTATTTAAAGGGCCAGGCACTAACAACCTGGGGTTACAAAGGACCAAACCTGCGACCTCCCATTTATAAGGAAGTTTTCATGCCACTAGGCTACAAGATCATTGATCTAAATATTTGTAATTACATAATTGAATAAAGCAATTTAGGATTTATTTATTTAGAAGTTCATCTAATCTGGATTATCTGTAAATAAAAGTTGTGAACGCATATGGCACATTGAGAGAGAAAAGTATAGTAGTGAGTTTAGGTTATTCATAAATCATAACAAATGATTTAGAATGCACATACTCTGTTTCCAATATGGGGAGAATTGTAGGCAAACCAAGTATCCTGTCTTTCGGTCTGACAATGCGCGAAACATGAATTTATGAACAATCCATTTTTGTGGGATCTTGAAAAGCCCCGTACAGAATTAACCATCTGATTTCGGAATCCTACATTGTACAAGGTTTGACAACACAAAAGAGAACAGTTGAAATATGAAAGGATTAAGTAACAACTTGAAACTGCTGCTATTTAAAACACAGGCAGATTCAAGAATGAATATTCTTAAAGTTCAACTTAACCACCTTGAAGATAATGAATCTGCGATGCACTGCAACGTGCGTAATTTTTTCTGCACTCAGCCCAATTCCAACGACGATCCACTGATGGCGGTGCCAGGCTGGCCTGAATCTGATAGAAGTGAAAGAAATTACACAAGTCAAATACAACTTGACAATAGGGATCACAATGTTCATATGTTAAGAGATTACACGTTCCTAATTCATCCTAAATATGCTCCCTCAATGTGATGAGGTAATAGCTGACAAGGCCACATGTCCAACAAAATTATAAGATTCTTCAATGTAAAGGAACTTGTTTTTGAAGTTTTATAAAGACTACAATGGTATTTCTCATAAATAATCAATCTAAAGAGACAGGGTTATAGGGATTTGCCTGCCAAGTATCATAAGCTGCGTTGAGGATAAATAGCGGTGTCCTGACACTGGAAATTAAATACTGAGGGAAGAAGCACTAAGAACAAAATAAACAAATAAAAAACATGTGAGGAACTTCTGACGTAGAGTGGGAGAGAATAAAAATGAAATTTTGTCAAAATTTAAAATCAATTCAACATGCTACTAAGCAGATCAATTCAAAATTTAAGATTATTTACATTTTTCCTTTTAGATTGTCACATGCAATGCGTGAAGATTTTGAGTCATACACATATCATTCATTTTGTAATGTAGACTCTTCTGATGATAATAATGAAGGGTTGTAGGCAAGCCAAGCATCTTGCCTTTCGCTCTGACAACATGCAAAACATGAATTTATGAAGAACCCATCTTTTTGAGACCTCAAGAAGCCCCTTGAAGAATTAAGCATTTGATTTCGGAATCTACATTGTGCACTTTGCATGAGGTATAGTCTAGCTAACAATACAGAGTGATAAGCAACTAAAGTAAAAAATTCTGATGACACTAAGTTTCCAAGTTCTACTATGGGCTTACAAAAGTAGAGGTCCAAAATCTTTGTTCAAAACTCTAATTACGGCAATTTATCAATTAAAAACCCTAATTTCCAAATGATGAATTCACAATCACGTAACAGAACAAATAATAAAATATTTTCCCATACTGCTCGAGCTTCTGCAGTTGAAAAATGACGGTACTAGCATTTCATGCACATGTTATGCCCATTTTCACAGTATATATCTCAGGTGACAAGACACGTGATAATGCTACGCTAGTAATTTAATAATATTGAAAGACCCAAAACAATAGTTACCAAGGTTGGATTGAAGTGACCGGTACAACTCCTTGGAAGGCTCCTTGCTGCTCCCTGCCACAAAAGATCCAGACCAACTTCCATTTTCAGTATATTTTGGTTATCCTATACACCTTGTTAACAATATTCAAGCAATCAGATGGACCAACTGAAGCATCCAACCATGAAATTGATATAAATTTCTGAGTTGTGAAATTGAGGTCAAACACCTACAATTCCTTTTTATCTTGGGATAACCAAAAAAAAAACAGAAGGGAATATAGGGGGCCAGGTGATTGAAGTAGCAGACTGAACAATCAGTGGATATGATGCGACATGAAATCTTAAAATCCTAATATAATTCTTCACTGTTAACTCACTACTCAAACAAGTTGAAACAGTCTCTTTATATCAAGCTTCAAAATATCGAGGCAACTAACTAATTTAATATAATACGAGGATTTCAGAATTTGGTTCTTTGCCCCTCACTGATTTGTCATATTTTACTTGATCTGTCATGACACTAGAAAAAAAAGGACATCAACAAGAAAGTATAAAAGAAAAAATACATGTAAGGCAACCACATCTCTGAATGTCCTCCTCAAAGTGCGACCACCAGATACATCAACACTGCAACTCAAGAAGAATAAACATTTTGTTATTTGCATGCCTACATATAAATACTATGACCTATGAGCATATCCAATGAATTAAGGATGAGAATTGAAATTCATGAAATGATTTTTTACCTGTCAAGGAACAATCCAGCATCACTTAAGCATTTGACTCTTGTAGTTGCAGGAAACAGTCCCCTAAATTCGTCACAATGAAGTATAGATGCTAATCCTCCAGCAGAACATCCAGATAGAAGAGCCTAATTGGACAAATCAATGAAATCAAACAGAAGTCAAGCAGCTAATTATCGTTTCTTTGCTGAAACTGTCATGTAAACCTGTTTAGCATAGCGCATGCCCTTTGACATTAAATCCTCCATAGCAGCTGCCCAGATGCGTTGTCCTCTGAAGTACAGACCCGCAGCCTACGGATCAAAGAAGAAATTAGATGTGATTCAACAACATTCTTAACTATCATGATCCACCACAGATAATACTATGAGATCAAACCCTTCAAATAGCTGTCTTGACTTGACAGTTTAATTTTACTTTCAACAAATATAAAGCAAAAATGAACAAAAACCAAATTAACAGGTAAGCTGAGAAAAGAAGATGGAAAATTATGACAAATAAAGAATTAAAAATGCCATGCCTTAAGAGTATATAGCAAAACCACCATAACTGTAAACTTATAAAAATTGCAGAACAGAACAAAATTAGAAGGAAAAATTCTGGCTCCTACAAATGAAAACCTGAAAAAACTTTTATGCTAGCATGGAAAAAGTATTCGAATAGACGCTGCAAATCATACTTCACACAGTGCATGGCTCAAGGAATAGATTACATTGAAAATAGACCTGTTTTGCCACTTACTTTATTTTGACTGTCCCCGCTAAAGGATGAACCATCACAGTAACGAATTTTTACTCTGTTCCAGTTGAAAAAATCTGTAAATAAATTCATCAGGCAGAATGATGAAGTTGATTTCCAGTGCAAATAGAATAGCATGTGAACAATGGAAAATCTAGTGATGCTGAGTTTGCGTTCTGACCAGGGTTTTCTTCAGCTTTGTTGCTCAATATTCCAATAAATGGAATCTGCTTTTCCATGGAATTGGATGAACCATGACGAGTTCTCTTACTGTACTCACAAGTTTTGATATTTCCACACCAGCCCCCTCCCTGTCATGAAAAGGCTTGCTGAAGTAATCAATTAAGGTGGAACAAGTTAAATCCACACGACATACCTATCTTAACAGTATCAGGTCCTTTTGGCCAAAAAACCAAAAAAACAAAAAACAAAACACTATCAGGTCCTGACCATACAAATCATACCCCGATTGACTAAAATTATATCTGCAGCTAAGGTGGAGGGCAAAGAAGGCTTCCTTCCAATGTAATGAAGCAAAAGCTTCTCAGTTTCATTAATTTCTTTTGATTTCTGGAAGCATGCACCAGAAGAACTACTTGTACAATAAGTTGAGCTTACTTACTTAAGTAGTTAAGAGTCAATTAAGAACGCATTAGCTTAAACATTGCAGCTGATCAAGGTATGATCACTCGCTTTAACCGTATTTTAGAATTAAAAAAATAAAATATGACAATAAATTGAACAGTGAAACACGCACCTCCAATTGTATAAGCCAACTATTTGATCCTGAACCATAACCACGGTGAAGATGGTAAGCTGGTAAAGATCCATCCAGACAAACTGCACATGAAGAATGCAAGCCATGCTATATGATACTGGGAAATTATCTGGTAAAGTTCGATTCATTTCAAAGCAGTGACCTATATAGTGCTTTTAAGGTTTTGGAAGTTGACACATCAAACGCAAGATCTCAATTAAATTAAAGAATGTAATTTGGGAAAGTTTGTTTAGGCTACTTCGCCTCCAAGTCTCAGTTAAAATAATCCCAAACGAGACAAGCAACTTATAACTATGTTAATATTACTGATAGGGATTTTGTTGCCCATATTCTTAATGGTTAAATCTTCATGGTTCTTAATGTTCAAATGATGACGGCGTAGGCACCATTGCTTGAGTGCATCTTCCATGCTCAGATGCTCATAAGTGAAACTAATAATATACTATGAGAAAAGCCACCATAAGAACAAAATAATTTTTGGTGGCCCCGTCAACTTAAGCAAGCAGATTTTAGAAGTATATGTACAAAATATTAAAAAGAAAAGAACCGTCATTTGGAAAGAAAAATAAATGCAGAAAAAACGGTTAGATAGGAAGAAGAAATACCTGCGCCTTTGGCAGCAGCTCCATCAATAAAAGTGATACCCACCATTAAGGGCCTGTTATTGAAAACCCTCCTCTTGACATAATCCATCTCTGTCACACTGGTATTGTCGAAACCTTCGACCACTTTGATAATCACCAATCCTACAAACCCAACCAACCACCACAGCTTCATGCCCCATGAACTCTTGTTTGTTTTGCACATTGGTCTGGCAGCCCGGGTCTATATAGAAAAATAGAAGACAATGGTAAAACGAAATAGAGCTTTCCCAGAACTTTAAACTCGGGTTTGAAGGGAATACGCTCAAGAGAGCAATGGAGCCCAAAAGAAAGAGGAGGGAAGCAATGCCAGTGGAGGGCAAGTTTGATTTTTTCGGAGGATAACCAAATCCAATGAGATGAAAATGAAAGTTCAAAAGACAAGGGCAATAAATAACTGAGTCCTCCCAGGTGACAAAAAGGTAAATGCAAATGAACACACCGCAGATTCACTAGCGAAACTGGAATCACAAGGAATGGCCTTCTATAGTAATGAACTGGGGGTGGTAAACAAAGTTGGATACAGAAAGGCTTAATAAAGAGCTCCAACAGCCAAAAGAGCGGGAAGTGAAAGAGAGAAAATGATGCCACCGACATGGCGGTGGAACGAGGTTGAAGATCAAGTGAGAAGAGAAAGGCAGGGCAGAGCTGTACCACAATATCGCAATATCTTTACCTTTCTTTCTCTCTCCACACCCAGCTGGTTCTGGACCCTCGTGGCCATGCATGACCCACCTACTGTCTGTATCTGCGTGCATTATGTCCTTAGCTTGTTCAGTTCACTTGGTTTTGGTGTGGTACCACATCGTATTGAATAATCGGAGGAGACCAGCAAAACGAGAACACTTGTCTCGTTTCTCATGTGGGATTCTGGACCACATTAGTTTATAAATGGGGGAAGCAACATAAAAATTGAATCTTGGACGCAGCTATACTGGCACATTTTATTGGCGTTGCTTCCCAAGCATTAGATTTGCAAAAATTTCTGTATAAATTTAACTATATGTACGGATATACCGCTGGTGATTTTTTATTAGAATTAACAATTAATAGTAAATAACAGGAAGAATGATTGTAGGGTCTCAAACGTAAGGTTCCGAAAAATATTTAACGAAACATAATGGTAAGATCCAAATACCTAATTTACAACATTAGCATATTACTATGTTAGCACCTAATTGAATAGACATTTACCACTTATTCTTCGGCCTAACTGTCATTAGATTCGTCTCTTAAGACCTAGTTCATTTCTCAAGACCCAAGTGTAATTTTCCTTAAATATTCATACATGGCCACCAAAGGTCTTGCATGCATTGTGTTTTTTTTTGGTGCTAAGTACAGGTATTTTATTATTAAAACAACTAGCAAAATCCCCCGTACATTGCACGGGCCACAAGAATATCGATCAATGACTACTATCGTCCATCACTCAATGTGGGGACATCATGTCAAGATGAGATTAGAGCAACTCTTTCAAAGCATTTGCTGCTGATTACATGGCCATAAACTTCACAAAAATTACCCCATGATTTAAAAAGAGGAGGGATACATACAACACAGAAAAAGAAAATAAAAAAATATTATGGAGGTACATATTCGCGACAGCAATCACGGTGCACAAGTACAGCAGCTACTTAAGATCATCATCAAATAACACTCTTGTGGCACCTCAAAATGAGCTAAGCACAGGTGGTCCACCTGCATGTAACAACTATAAGTAGGATAAAATATCTCACTCCGTCTAATAAATATTAAATCTTGCTATTAATAGAAATTACGAGCATGAACTTGTGACTTATTAACAAATGAAGGGAAAATTGTTGTACCATGGTTCTTATGAAGCATGCCAATAGCATATTACATAATCAGAAAATCCCCAGCTTTTACCCCCCGGCATCTATCTTGGCAAGAGTAATCGTAGCACACTGATCATGAAGCTTAATAGTCAACTCCTTCGACTGACTGACAAAATTTAATTTCCATAACCACAAAATGATGAAAGCATCAGTATGTAAATTCAAATGGGATAACACATTAAGCTTACAAGATCAAAACCATATATGTAGCATTCATCAGTCATTCATGTTGTTGTGAATAATTAGCAGACATATAATCCGCCTAATAATTATAACTAATACAAGCTCACACATATCATATACAGCGCTTAAGCATCGCGGAAAGTCATAACTAATATATCAATAATTAATACATCATATAAGTTAAAACATCCAACAACCCATACAAACTTAAGTATGAAGTACCCCATTACATATGAATGATCACCTACAGTAAGGACCTAACAAAACATTTGTCATCAACTTATAGCCCAAAACCACTGGATACAAAAGCTATGGCCCTAACTACCCTAATACAGTTCCAAATCATATTCATCTTCTATAAGCGGGCCTCAACAATTCTCTCTTCAGATACATAATCTCATAAAAATAAGGGTTCCAGTACGCTCTAGTAGCATTTGTGTAATTTGCCAAGAAGCTATCCCTGCGGGAAGAAAAAAAAAACATTGTTATAAAATCGATCATACTACATTAAACACTTGATTTTTATGAAATGAATGACAAAGCGAGACCATTAAACCTTTGAAAGCACCAACCATAAAAAAATTAGTAATCTTTATGACAAGATGAAGCAAGATATGAGGGAATTGGTCACAAACAACAGAACGCATGAAAATGCAAGGAGTGTATTCATTCTGGAAGGAAAAAAATACCAAAGTGCAGTTACATCATCATCAAACACAACCATATTCGTGCGTTCAACGGTGTTTTCGTGCCCTGCTTACCACCGAAATGAGTCAAGAAACTACTGCCAAATAATATAAAGAAAAAAAAGGGTTGAAGCGAGTTAGGAAAGAACTTACGTCAACTAAAGATATCCCCAACTCAAAAATGAAGTAGCTGCACCAACCCATTTGCAAAACCATTTATAAGAAACCCGGATAGAGTAACAAACGTACAATACTAAGCAAAAACTGTCATGCGCATGTGGACGTTATTTCAATAGAGTTACACGCAATAGATAAGCAACACGCAGCCCGAAATGTAAGCCTCTACTGTTCACACAGCCGTTACTGTTCATAGAACAGTATTTTGAGAGAGGAGCCGATCAGGAAGGGACATCGGCTAAGAGGTGTCATTGATTTTTATTTGATATATCTATAGATTTTGCTCGAGACACTGTAGCACATTAAATGTGGATACTTCGTCCAATGTTTGTATATACTCTTTCCACAGTAATTTGTTTACAGCAGTCATGAGAAATTAATTCAAAATATAAAATAATAAAAGAAGCATGAAAAGTTTATTATCAGAAAATGAATGAAACCCAATATTGTTGACGGTGCCACTCACCCACAAAAGTACAAATGTATTATTCCTATTTTGATGGAGCGGTGAAGTAGAGTAACTACTGCAAAGCAAACTAGTACTGAATGAATATCATGATGATGACACTTAGCGAAGCCATGATGATGACATACCATATGGTGGTGATTAATTTGTAGAATTGATGAGCAGAAGGGAAATAATAATCAAAAGAGCAACATGCAAATCCAAATGGGAAGCCAGAATATTCATAATCTGACACTTGTGAACCCAGCCGTATGTTTGATTGCAGGTGGTCATCCGATATCATTTCATAACATGTTTCAAAGCATTATCATTTAAAATATGGAATTCTAACTCAGTATGATTATTCGGGACCCATGGTTTCCAATGATTGATGAACATGATACTTTGATATGGAAAGGTAGAATAGAGTAGCAGATCGTTGTAGCAAATAGCTTGGAAACATATCTGAAACTGAAAGTGGCAACTTCTGTTCAAAATCCAGATGTTCATATGGAGGATCTTGAAAATTGCTTTGCCCTTAAAACTCACAGTGAAAGATAGTCACTTTGCACGTTGCAAGTAACCTCGGCAAGTTCTTTTTGTGATTACAAGTTGAAATCAGAGAGCATTTACTTGTAAGTTGTCCCTTTTTCATGAGCCTCGTGATGGATATAAAGACGTTGAATAGAAAATATTATTACTTTATTGTTTATTAACATGAACGTTCATTTGTAATTTTAGGATTTTATGCACTCGGACAAGATTTGAGTCGAATAATGCATGTAAATTAAAGGGAGTTTTAGAATCAATGAAGCAGGCAGAAACTGAACCAATCCAAACCATTTTCCCAATACCACATTCTTTCAACAGGAAGGTCACATACACAAAATAAAAGGCTCAATAAGAGTTCCCGTGCAGGTTCAGGCAATCGTAGCTGACATCTGAAGCTGGTTGCTAAACTCCCCCAACTTAGTAATTTGGAAGGATATAAAAAACTTTGGCATACCCCACTGTATGCAATTAATAATGAATAATGCGCAATATACATACATGGTCCAGTCCAAAATTCCATTCCTTTGTATTTCCAATATATGAAAGAAGAGCATTGAATTCGCCGACGGTTGGCAATGTTCATAAGTCTGCCACATTGTGCCATTGTGGTTGTAATATTGTGATAGAAACCGAACAGCAATAAATGAATCTTACGTCTCTTTTGAAATGGCTGAGCTGATGCAGACTTGGATAGGGTTAAGCCGTTATCTCAATAAGGGTGGTTCTCCATCAGCGTTGGCTCAAATGTTTTGTGGACAATAATACAAAAATGTCATTATATGTGCTAATTCAGTTGAGGCATTAACAGTTCCCCACAAAATATTTGGGCCAGCACTCATCTATATCCATGTGTTTGGAAAAGTATAGTTATCTATATCCATGTGTTTGGAAAAGTATATAAAATGACTAGCCCAACAAACCAAAAATATGAACGAAAGCCTCGTCTTTCTTGATATCACCCTGTTAAGATATAAGGATTTATTAATTGCCAATAAAGTAAAATGTAAAATGTTTTCTAACAGTTAGCCCTTTTCTACTGTATGGTTTATCCATAGCATCTGTAATTCTCCCTGTTTATTTAAAAAACACCCAGAATAAAAAAGGGATCTCTTCTGGATTCAGATGAAGAGTACAGCCACGACTGTTTATTGGTGTGGTGTAGCTGTTTTCATGATGAGTGAAACAACACAACTTGCAATTCCTTTCTATAAAAATAGCAATAATATAAACTGCAATGTAATCAAGTCCAACACCAAATGATTTCATACAAGGTCTTCCGGTTTTTCACTCCAAAAGAGAAGATAGAAAAACGCTTAGTGGAGAGAAGAAAAGGCACATGTTTGTGGTCTCGTTTAAGTTCTCATCTTCGCAAGCCCCACAATTATTACAAAGGATTTGTCAAATTCTCACAGAAACTTCCTATATGGTCGGCCTGCATCTTCGTCTTGCATATGCTGTAAACGGAACAAACTAATCAAGACACAGAACAAACTTTCATGCATATAGTATATAGGAAATAACATTAAGGAAAATTTTGAGAAATATATCATCTCATATATAGAACCTAAGGAGTATCACAATTCACGAAATAGAGGTCAAACAAAAGAGAGCCAAGTTAAGCTCAAATTTTATTTGGCAGTGGAAGTATACCCAAGGATGAAGCTGTGCCCAAGGATGTGGAACTCACATCATTTTCAACCAGAAAAATCCAGTATAGGCAGGGATCCTTAAAGAAATCATATATGATGTGAAATTTCCTATATTGTATTTAATAGTAGGTTCTGTAGACTGCCAGCAGCCATCCATTTCATGAAAACACATTAAAATATATATATTGCAATACAACCATTGATTCAGATAAGCTCTCATACTTCCACACTGCATGGACAAGACAGTCGTAAATGCTCTGCCATTCTTATTCGCTATTTCAACAATTAAAAATCTCCGACTGTACTAATCAAAGTTCCAAGTATCTAACTATTTCAACAATTAAAAATACTCTATCATGTTGCCACATTCTTATCACTCCAGACGAGCTATTCTTTTCAAGCCAGAAACAGTGGGAAGTTAACTTATAGCTTCTAAGTCCAGCAACACTACCACTATGTCTTGCCACATCATCCAAGCTACTCTAGACCTTTCCAGACAAACAACCTTAAGTACCCTCAAGGCAGCAACATAATCTTCCCGCATCCGACATTTCTGCCTCCGTCTTTCTCCAGAAAGTTACTTCATAAGCAGAAAATGCACATACAAGAGGGGAAAAAGGTGGCATCTTTAACCATAGGCTGCCACAAATATTCTTTCGCAGAACTATCACGAGTGAACATGACTATCCAGAATTTTCACCACATGGAAAGTAAACTAAAACGAGGGAAAATTAGGGCATTGACGGATCTATCCTAAAGCAGCAGCAAATGGCAATCAAATGACATAAAAGCGAAATCATTCAAATTAAAAAATAGTAGGAAATCACAGAAAGATTGAGGGACATACAAATTCTCTGACAATGCCCTTGTAGACAAGGACGGGAATTGCGATGCCGAAGATGCCAACGAGGGCCAAGTTGCGGCGAGTCCATCGGAAATTGTGCTCGAGATTCTCTCTAGCAGCACCCCAATCCTCTATGAACCTGTTCTTGTGGGCTTCCATTCCTCCTCCCATCTTCCCTGACTTTGCTTCTCACTTCCACACTCTCTCTCTCTCACAGTCTAGAGATCGATCGATCGTTTCTGTTCTGCGAATTCCCACCTTTGATGACCACGCCTACTGATGGGACGTGTTTGGCTACTTGGATAAGCCTGCTCCGGATCCGAGTCTCAGAATTCGGAGGTGTGGAGCGCTAAACCGAAGCTGGATTGCTATTTTTTTAACAAACAAATTGATAGGATTTGGATTTACCAAAACAGTTGGTTAATTTATAAGTCATTTTACATGAAAAATATGAAATATTAATTATATTCTTTTAATTTTATCCTTTCACAATTTCTTAGCTAAATCATTGCTAAAATTATACATTTTCATGGAATAATAATTTGTAGTATAATTTAATTTTTTAAAAATATCATCCATTAATTAATCCATTAACATTTCTTAACCAATTGTCCTCATACATATTTTTAAGAGGATATATTTCATTAAAAATGAGTTACCAAAAATATATCTCACATTCATACACTAGTAATTTTAACATAATTCCGAACAAAAAGCAAGAAACTTGTTCATCATACGGGAAGGGATTGTTGGTTGCTTACCATACAATTTTCTTTCTTTCTTTCGTCTCATTCTTCTTCTTTTTTTAAATTTTTTTCGCTCAACATTTCCGTTTATTCACGTAAAGGTGAACACTTCATGCTTCTATCCCCACAGGCCTTACCAAGAAGCAATGCTCTCTTAATTCACGTCACTTCAATTACTAATTTGATCATATCCATACAGTAAACAAAGCTCATATTGGCCTTCCATTAGTCCTTGAGAGGATGATATCAAATTATCCTAATAGTGAACAAATCCTTCAGGGTATCAAACAGTTAGCCATACAAGCAAGTTCTGCCACTCGGAATTTTGCATTATGTCAAGCAAACATTTATTCCAGGCCACACATGATACGATAGAAGTAACACACCATAGCAGAGATATATTACATATATAGCACTTGATAAGATAAACCCTTCTTCAGAATCTTGCAACTGAGTAGCAGGGCACTTAGAACTCCCGATCGGGGAAGAGGATAGGAGCAGCAAGAGACCATATGTACAGTGCAGCAGTAGCCCAGCAAGTGACGATGCGAACCCACACGGAAGGCCACCCTACGTCGACTATCTTCCCGCTCTCCCCAACAGAGGTTGTCCATCCAGTCAGAAGCATTGCAGAGTACATGCTAGCGAGGGAAAAAATTAAGTGGAAAAAGGCATATGAATAGGTGACCGGCTTTGCCTTTTCCTTCTCCTCTTCCTCCTTGGCATCCATAGGAAGCAAAGGCTTCCCTGCAGACAAAAGCCAGATGAACAGTTATTAGTTAGCACCTGTGGTTAAACAGGAAATCTGACGCAATTTCTAATGAATATCAATAAGACAAATCATAATTTCTTTCGTGGCATCAATGTCTGATAATGTTGTGAAACAGTGATACTTTTGAAAGTGGCGTTTTTTTTTTCTTTTGGGGCACTACAGACTTCAGATTTTGGCAATTACCAGCACGAGGTGAACTTGGTGGAGAAAGCGCTGCGGCTGATGATCCAGCTCTTACAGCAGAATAGACAACTGACAGAACAGTTGTAATTAAGCCTAAAGTGAGGGTGCCAGTGGAAACAGCTTTTGAGTGCTTGTGAAGACCATTGCACTCATAATCTCTTGGTTCACTGGCCAGAGCGCTATAACAGAGATAAGTGCAGTATAAGGATATCACTGAAGCTGGCAGGATGCTACTATTTACCTGTTCAAAAATAATTCGATTCAACCAGTGCTTAGACAAAAACAAGAACAGCAATCTGATACCAGAAGACAACAGAATCAACAAATTTGAATTGACTCAAAGAAATTTAATAGAAGTTCACTACAATAAAATCAAATAATGAACTTACTGCAGGATGCAAAGCGACTATAGCAAAAACAAATGCAAAAATCAGGGTCATGGTAATAAAAAAGGTATTGAGGCCGCAGTCCTGTCCAGATGCTGTGAAGAAGTGAAAGAGAACGCCAGAGAATGCAAACGTACCCACATAACAAACAAGAGAAACTACAAACAGAGCAACGTACCTGTATAAAAAAATAATAAGATAATTTAAAACTGTCATGTCAGGTAAAGCAAATTACACTAGAGAAGATGAGTTAGTATAGCAAAGGCTAGGCTCACCAGAACTGCTCATCATATCCGACCCATGTGTCATTCCATCTGTGAACAAAATCCAGCAGCAGCACAACTTGAACAAGAAGAAACAAACCTGAGCCAAACTTTGATGACGTTTCTGCAAACAATAGAAATTTCATAAGAATCTAGACATAGGAAGATTGGCATGTCAAAAGAATATCATGAAAAAGCATGTCATGTCTGAATTCTTTCAATTCATAATCTTTATCATTGGTCAGTAAGCCTTTTAGCATTTTATAATCTAAAGCTTCCATACAATACATTTTGCCTCAATATCTTGTGATGCTAACCACTAAACGACTAACTTCAGGTTGTTTCAACATAGAAATCTCTTTTGCAAAGGGCTACGTCCAGGTATGCCAGTAATGACATCCTTATACTTCCATAAAACTTCAAATGATTATACAATTTCTTAAAAGATTGCATAACGGATCTAAGATAGAATGTCTTAGCACATAGCACCCTCAAATTCACATTCACATAGCTTAATAAGCTTGGGACTTTACTGTAGAAAATGAATCAAAAATCAAATAAATAAAACTAAATTATTAAGAACTACTTACCATATAAATCAATAATCTCATTTGGAAGAAAAAACATGAAGATGACCAAGAGGCACCAACATATGATTTTCATCATCCATCCTCCATGGTGCAAACCATCACGGGGATCCTTTTGGCTTTTTACGCCAATCATCATAATTGCCAGAATAGTGAAAAAGACAAAATTTCCCAGGCTAACCCGCAGAACTGCATCAATTTCAAACCATTCTTTGCTAGGTGTGTGCGCAAAGTGATTAATCCCTGCAGCCATGACAAAAGTATACTGGATTAATCCTGACCTTGAAATAAGAACGCCATCCTCATCTTGGTTAATAAAATACTAGCACAGCTGATTCTGCAGCATAGAATCTCTAGATATTTTATACCCAGTTAGACACTAATTTGCTCGCAGTAAAGCTTTAGCTGGGGAAACATAACTATATATGAACACGGTCTCTGTGGCTATGGAAATTACATAATACTTACAACAACTAAATATATTTCTCCATATGACGCATGAGACTGAACAACATCAAAAAAATTTTAACATTGTAACTAGTTTTTCTTACATGTAAATCATGTCAAAATGCGTAGAAACAGGTTGAAGGAATAAAAGAAATTATACGGAATCCAATGAAATATGTTAAGAAAGATTAAAAGAATTAGAAAAACAAAGAACTCAAGAAGCTTCATACGCACATGAATAGTTTGACTCCCAGAGATTTTACATGTTACATTAATAGATTTTGATAAATTTGAATAACGAAACTTCCCAACAGAGTGCAATAAAAATAGAGTTTTAACTTTTGAGGAGAGAACCCAACAAAAAGAATATTTACGACCAAGGTGCACAGAAAGTTTTAACTTTTGGAAATAGCTGATCGATTTGATAGCCCCAACTATCATCTGCAAGACATCCAGTTGTCTGCACAGCTCAGACGGGCAATAATAGTCTATTCGAGCTTCCTGGAAATATCTATGAAAATCCAAAATTATCTATGATAAAACTACCAATATTGACGATGCGCTTCAAATTTTCAGTGACAAATCATTGTTGAAACTCATAAAGAAATCAATTATCCAAATCACAAACATGTAAAATAAATTGAAATATTTTATTTTTCTTGCGTGATCAAGAGGTGATACAACAAGACCCACAAACAAACAGATAGAGATCAAGAAGCAAAACATTCAAATGCTTACAGGGGATTTTCTCCATTAAGGGTGCAGCAACTACGCGAAGAATCCATGCAACAACTAGCGAGAACGCAAATAGCCCACAATAGGCAATCCTAGCGGAACGGCGGCTGATACTTGATACCGCCGTCCGGCACGCATCACAAGCGCAAGCCGCGCAGCATGATGCGAGGCAGGAAGCAGCCCACATGGTCTTCTCCTTTGACGATTAAAATTGAGTAATATTGCAGTTTAGAGCTTTAACCGTGAACCGAATTCGCTTTCGATTTCAGGATGATCAGGATTTCAGAGAAGTCGTGATTTTAGGGCGGAAGAATCGAGCAGAATGGGGAAAGAGCTCGGAAATCGCGAGATGACTTCGATTCTCCAATTAATCCCTCCGACCTTTTGAAACTTTTTGGCTTCATACAAAACTGCGTCGTTTAAGTGAAGCTGTTCAACAACAGTCAACAGGACAAAGCCGGGGATGCCCATCATTAAGAAATACTCCTCTGGTCCTTAATATAGGACCCAATTTTTGAGTTAGTCTTGATCTTAAATGTAAGACCCATTTTTCATATTTATCAATTTTTTCTAAATTACCCTTATAGATAATCCCTCAACCATAATTAAGTAGAAGAGGGAGAGGAGGTATTAAAAAAGATGATTATGGTGTTTTAGGAAAAACATGTCACTTTTCTTATAATTAACTAACTTACCTAACTTCCTTAATCTAATCAAATTAGTTAAAATGGTCTTATATTAAACACCGGAGAAGTATATAAATAGGAAATACAGAATAAAAAATAAGGAAATAAATTTTATTCATTATCCACATAAAAATAAAAATTAATGTTAATAACAGTTTCCTAACACACACACACATATTTGATGGGAGTCATCTCATCAGTTATCAATTACTAATATAAGATAACTATGAAAATAGTTGGCCAAAAAACACAACAACAATAACGAGAATCTACCTATTCCTCTTCAAATCTTAAATATAAGACTCATTTTATAATTAGAGTATTAATTTTTCTTATTGTAAAAAAAAAAAAAAAGGTTGGAAAAAGCATCTGCATTGACATTGTGATGGAATTAATGAGAATTAGTGAATTACTTTACTTGGATTGGGCATGATGACATTCGTATTAGAACAGAATAAGTAGCCTGGAAACTCCAGGATTGGAATGTTCGGTATTTGTTGGAATGCTTTTGCGAAGTTTGTTTTAAGAGAAAAAATTAGCTGCCATTTTTACTATTTTCAAAATTATTATTTAATTAAAATTAAATAAGAATATAAAATATTGAGTAATTCGTACAAAATATATTTATTAAAATTAATAATAAATACCTAACTTTGTGAAAATATTTTTAATATAGCCAAATAAAAAGTAAAAACACTACAAAGAAGAGGTACTTGTGAAAACCATCTGAAAAAGTTCTTTTAATTTTTGATATCATTGCATTTGATCAATTGTTAGAGACTATAAGTTTCACTTAACTAATTTAAATAGATCAAATAAATTATTAAATTCTGATAAATATGATATAATCTTTGTGATATTAGATTATACATCAAATTATAATTCAGATAAATTCATTAAAAAAATAAGTATTATAAATAAAATACATTAAAATACTAATATGCCCGAAATTAAGATCAAAATACTATAATAAACCATTAAAAAATCAGGGTGCCAAATTCGCCAGGCTTGTGCCAAATAAGATCAGATTCAGGATCCTCAGCTAGCACCTTGACCCTTTTCTAAGTTGAGATTTTGAACAAGTAGATCCCGCGTGATTTTTCTTGTTCCATTCTTTTGTAGGCACACAAGCAAAATTAGAACACATGTCGTCTTCACTGAAATCGTAAGTTCGCGATTTCACGAACAAAATCGTCCCTCTTCGATAACCATGTTCATTGTTGGACAAAATAAGAGAGCAACAAAGCCAATAAAGAACTAAACTTTCAACACTCTCTAGCCTCTCGATGCCCCCAAGACAATAAAAGTTTCCCGGCCTCAGCCTCAGGATATAGACCCCCTCAATTATGACCCAGTTAAAAAATATTAACCATCAAATTATAATCTTACAGTATTAATGGGAAAGTTACAGATTTTCGTTTTAAACTAACGGCGACTTTCACACTTGCCACATCAAAACACACTACACTTGACGTGTGCCCCCAAACATCATGCACACAGCCCATCAACGGGGCTTGTGATGAGAAGCATTCAGGTTATAAAGATTCATTCCTTGTAAGCAAAACCACAAGCAGCTCATTTGAAGACAATAAAACATCTAAACGACATAGGTAACTCTAAAATATAAATAAAAACAGCTTTCAAGATGTAACAGAGTAGGAGTCTAACACAAGGTACAAGCAACAAAAATGAAGAGTTCAATATGGTATAACTCTCGCCAAAACTTCAGAAAAACTACCTAAAATTGACAACTCAGTACTTAACGGGAGCAAGGATTTCAAGTTGGGGACCAAGCTTTTCCTCTGCGATCTTCTCAGCTTTCACCCTCAGTTTGTTGAGCTGCTTCTTCCTCTCATAAACCAATTGAGCCCTCTCCTTTCTCTTCTTCTCCAACTCCTGTGAGTAATACAATGATCAAAAACTTCACCAGACACACCAAATGTTCCCCTCAATTATCACAAGTTTCATAATCCCTAAAAAAATCTTGGGATGAACAAAGAATTTCAAGTCCTAAATGATCAAATATACATGCACATATCTGACTCAAATGGTCCTTGCAATTAGTTTATAGGAATAATTAATGACATAATATGATGAGTCTATTTTACAAAAAGGCCTGTTAAAACATTTGTGGAATGTAATTATAAGTTCGATGAAGGAAGGAGTTCAAGCACGATGCACTCACCCTGATAGTGTCATAGTAGTTCCATCCGACCTCGGATGACAATTTTCCTAGCAAGCAGTATTTGTGTCCTTTTTGAAGCCTCAATACTCTGATTCCATTCAGTTCAAAATTCGTTAGAGAAAAGTGGATACAAATACCCAAAATCTCATAATCTCAATTGCTGATTGCCAACATGGGAAGGGTTAAGATAAGTAGAACTACAAAGCTTACTTCAGAGCATCAGGGACAACCATCCTCTTCATCTTGTCATATGGAGGGGGAATACCCTCATAAACCTTCAACCTAGCAAGTGCTTCTGCTCCACGCTTTGTCTTGTGGGGTATCATTCTATAGATAAAGACATTACCAATTAATAACATAACATAAGCTAGATAAAAACAAAACATAATTTGCAATTTCTTATAAACAGAGTAGTATTCTGGAGAATAATTAAAATGAATTAACTACCCTAGAGGAAATAGTCAGCATTGATGGCCATACATACAAGCGTCCTTGTTAAAAGAAATTAACTACCCTAGCTATCAATTCAAATTTAGCATCTAATGTTGCTCATGGCAAACGGTTCCATTTGATGACCAAGCTAACTTAGTAGAGCTGCTGCCCTAGAAAACATACAGATGTATTGCTTAAAGGAAAACATGCCTCATCTTGTTACGAATGACTTATTCATTCCCTGGATTTCGCACAGGAAGTATGGCATTCAAAGTAGTCCGCAAGCATCAATATTCAATGAATTCCGAAATTTGACAAGAACATTAACTAAGGCCAACAACCCAGACTGTCTTAACAGCAAGGAACAACATTCGAGAAAAAAATCAGGTCAGTGAAAAATGAATCACAATATTTCTGAGGATCCGAAGGCCAGCACAAATGCCTAATAAATGAAAACAAAACAGAAATGCTTGGTCTGAGAAACTCACCCACGAACAGTGCGCCAGAAGATCTTGCTTGGAGCACGGAAGTGGATGGGCCCATGGGAAGGCTTGGTGTTCATACGCTTGCGAAGGAACCTCATGTACTTCATCTTCTGCCTCACGAGGCCACCAGAGATGCAGATCTCCTCGCACCTCACCGCAACGACCCTCTGGCCATTGAGGAGCTCCTTGGCCACGATAGAGGCCAGACGACCCAACATGTGGTGACGAGCATCGATCACCACCCTCTTTGCGCAGATCCCTGATCCTGACACCATTGTCGCTGGCTCTCACACAACTCCCTCGCGCAGGAACCTTTTGCCGCTCCCTGCTTCAATTGAGAAGATATAAGAAAGAAAGGAATGAAGAAGTGGCTAGGGTTTTTGCGTTTTAATTGTGGGCTGGGCTTCTACACAAGAAATAGTCCAGATGAGCAAAATCGCTAGATCAGCTTCAGGCTTCAGCTTGGAGTTTTGGCCCACAATAATAAATCAGCTCACAAAAAATCATTATAATACTACCCCACTCCGTAATATAAAACCTTGATTTTAAATATAAGATCTCAATCTATTTTGTTTCTCATATTTATATTTTTTTTTCAAAATAGTCCTTCTAACAATGGTAGTTCTAGCCAATATACTTAATTAATAAGGATATTTTAGGAAAGACAATACATATTTATTACAAATAACCAACTTAACTTCTTTTTTTGATCTCTTCAAATTAGTCAATTAGCTCTTATAATTAGAATAAAAGGTAGTATGAGATTTATATAATTTCCTATGCGTCAAAAACAACTAAATAGTTGGCCAAAAAAAAAACTAAATACTACTAATTTGTTGTTTGATATAAATATTCCCAAAAAAGAGAATCTTAGATGGAAGTACTTTACTCTTACAACATTACTTTAAAACATTTCAGATTGATTGAAAAAAATTATTATCATCCATTAAGTGCTTGATGTGCAAGTTGAGATAAATTTTTAATGGTTAAGATAAATTGAGGGCCACAAAATATTTTTTTTCAATAGAAGTTAATCTTAAAGTATTTCCATATTTTTAGTGTAAAGTATTTTTCTCATCAACAATATGGACCCTAAACTTAAATACTAAGTGTTAAAAAAATATTATAAAATACTAAGTGTTACTTAAAAAAATGTTTTAATATGCTAGATGAACCACTAATTAATTAGCTTAAGATTAATGGACTACTATGTTTTTTGTAATATAATCTAACTTTAAATTGTCTAAGCTTTATCATGGTTAGATTAGATTGGACGTGATTTATAAGGAACCTAGCATCATTTCCGTGAGGGGGCTTTATATATTTTTGGAAGAATTATAATCAAGTCTCGAGAGAAAGAAGTAATTACTAAAAAGTCTCAATAACAATTTAAACAGCCTATAATAACAAATTATAGAATAAAGAATAACAACTTTTAGAACTTGTTTTGTAATTTTTTTCTTTTTTAAGATATTATTGTAATTCTCCCTATATTTTAATACCTAATCAATGACTTTATTTCCACGTACCATAATACTAATGATGAAATTTGCAGAAAGAATTTCGCGACCAGGTATTTCTTATAATTTATGGAATTCACTTGCAGCCATGTGGTGCATTGACTTCTTATGCATTAATTAACTGGAAATGTCAATAAACGTTGAGGACGATAACCTACGTGTATTGCTTCGCTCTTTAGGTACGAGAGGGGGAAAAATACCGTAAAATGATTCTTATAATTTAAAATTGGATTAATTTAATTTTTTATCCTTGAAAATTGGGCCTATTTTGATTATAGTCTCTAAAATTTAGTCTATCTTAAGAACATTAGTTTTCAGAAGTGTAATAATATTAAAATATACTAAATTATCATAAATAATGTCAAAGTAATGGTGATGTAAATGTATTAGATAGCACCTACCTGAATCTTGTACGGATAATAAAAAAAGAAAAAAAGACCAGACCCTCAAAATATAGCTCTTTAGCCTCTCTCTTTTTTCCCCCTTATTATTCATTTTCAGAAGCTATTCACTGCATTGCACTCTCTTATCTATATAAGATCCATTTCATTGTCACCTGGTGAGTTCATTTAACTACTTTTAACGTTATTGATATCATTTTAACAGTTTTTAATATCATTGCATTATCAGGCACTAGTGTTATAAGACAAATAAAATTTGAGAAAATAAAAACACGAATTTGAAATTTGAAAAACCAAAATTAAAATGGATTCAAATTTTAAAGATAAAAAACTTATATTAACCTTTTAAAATTCATATTTCAAAACTAAGTATCTTGGAGGAATATAAGTATATAAACTCTGTAACTCAATAGGTGTTTGAATGGGATAGAAACTACTTTAAAAAGTATTTCACAAAAATCAAAATAAATTTTTTATATAATTACTTTATATATTGTAAAAATTATTTTTAAAATTATGATTTAGTTCTTATACAAACACTCTTTAAATTTAACTATAGCTTTTATCAAAGGGAGCTTATTTCTTATGGGTTACTAAACTAGACTTTACAGGCGGAAGGCATACACAGGAAGTGATGAAAAAGAGAAAACGAGTGTAGAAAAAATAATAAAAAGAGAGAATGAGAAGTTAGTTACTTAGAAAATACTCATCCCATTTTAAATATAAATTTAAGATTTATTCCTCCAGTTTTAAATATAAGATCTTTTTCGTAGTGTAATTTATACTATAAAAGGGTGTGGAGGAGTATTTTGTAGTGTTTTAATAGAGGAACAAAAAGAGAGGAAATATAAAAGAGTCTTTCCATTTAAGCATGTTTGAGTAAAATTATTTGTTTGAAAATCAAATGAGTGAAGACTGAAGAACTAATCCAAACAAAATAAAAAATACCAGATTCGGATATGGCCTCAAGTGCAAAAAAAGGTTCGCTGGTTGCAATTTGCGGATGGTACAGGAATGGTTTATGAGAAGGGTGAATACTCTTTTTTTTGGGTCTTTTTGCTGTAACTTTTGTTTGCTTTGGGCTTTAAGCCCTTATTCTTACCGAATAAAATTCTATTTTTTAACCCAAGAAAAAGTTGGCCAGTTGTACAGTGCTCTTGCCAAAAAACGTGGCTCCGAAATCAAACCCATCAGTAGTTGGTTCGATTCGCAGATTTGGAATCATTACCCCCACACAGCAAAAGCTTCTCCGGTGGAAAAAGCTAACAGAGAGAAGCTATGCCTATGCCTATGGGTATGTTTGGATTGGCGTTGGGTAAAACTGACTTCTAGCTCAACTGACTTTTGTAATTGAAGTTAGAGTAAAAGTCAGTTAGAGTATGTTTGGATAGGTGCTTTTGAAAAGTCAGTTGAAAAAGCTGAAAGTTGTTTGGATGATGAATGAAAAAGTTAGTTTAGTTGTAAAATGACTAAAAAGGGCATGAACTTTATTAAATAGTAGTTTTTAATTTTTTATGTTTTTAATGTGATAATAGTTAAAAAAACATATAAAATTATTATGATAAAATATAAATAGTTTAATTGTGAAATTATGAAATAAAAATATTTGTTATGAAGAAAAAGTTGAAAACACATTATAGATAATTAATTAAATATACATAATAGACAAACATGAATATAAATTAAATTTATTTGGTCTAAATAAAAACTTATTATGCTAACGAAGGAGATGAGGCAGAGAGAAAAATGTGAGGGTAAATCTGGGATGCTCATTTTTAGTAATCACCGTTTGAAACTACAGTTTGAAAAGTTAGATTTTTCTCCATTGAGTCTAACTGAGGTTGAAAGCCAGAAGTTGGTTGAAAAAGTTAGCCCAGCCAAACAACAGTTTTGGTCCAACTAAGTTTACAACCTCAGTTTCACAGATTCCAAGGCACAACTACAGTTTGGAACTGCAATCCAAACATAGCCAATATCACCATGCTACGGGTGCTCCCGGTCTTGGTACTATGAAAAAGCACTGTGTCAGTGTCTTTTCTGTGCTCCATCAAATCATCTCTGCCTCTTCAACGTCTCTCTTTGGTCAGTCTTTTCTCCGCTCTGTTATTCAATTTCTGCTTTCTGATCCACCCTCTCCCCTCATTCTCACATTGCCTTGGAGCGCAACTGAGTGAAAACAAATCAGGATTTCTCTATTTCGTTCAACTTAGAGGAACCAACCAGCCTTGCCGGGACTAAACGGAAACGCCTCAGGAGACGATGAGATGACTCGAGACAGTATCAGACAAGAGGAGTAGATAGAGACGAGTAAAGTATTTTCTTTTCAAAGGTTTGTTTCTTTCTTCTATCAGCCTGGACTTTTTTTTTGGTCAAACAGCCTGGTCTTTGCATAAACGTTTTCTTTTTTGTTTTTCCCATTGAAAGGGGAAAGGATCTCTCTGCAGCTTGCTCAACTCGATGAATAAACGACAGGCGACCTCTTCTGAAAGAGATTCGGAACAAATGGAGGAAGTGATGAAACTGGAAAAAAGAGACGGAAAGACAACGAAGGAGTACGTGCTTTTTAGTGGCGATGCAGTGTTCGTCACGGAAATGAACGTCATTTGTTTGAGTGGTCGGGTGACCGGCGAAGAGCGCATCACGGTGACGGTGAAGAAGCATTGGGAAATGCTAAGTGGGAAGCACATGCACTATATGATTGGGAAAACTGTGAAGTTAGGGTTCCTGATGAAGGATTACTGTGATAGAAACCGCGTTACAAAATCACAGTTTCGGTTTATTATTCCAGGGACTACTGAGCGGATCACAGAGAATCAAACCCCAGAAGAACTAGGAATGAGAGATGGTGGTGTGATTGTAGCTGTCCATAGGTTGTAACGATAGAGAATCAAACCTCATGGCTCATGTATTGAGCTGTTGAGTTAGTTTAAATTTTAGTCTAATTTTATTTGGGGTAATACTACTACTTTTTATAAACTGGGAGAGTTTGTTCTTATTTGGCTCTAAGTTTTTCCTTTGGGAAACTGTCATCCGCCTTCTTCTGTTTTTCTTGACCATTTATACTGCTCCAATTGATTCACTGTCTGCAACTGTAAGATCCTTTTTGAAGGCGTTCGTTTAGTACAGTCGATGGTCGAAATTAATGGACGACGATACAAACATAATTTCCCATGCGTTAAAAACAACTAAATAGTTGGCAAAAAACAAATACTACTAATTTATTGTTTGATATAAACCCAATTTAAATTGTCTGAGCTTTATCATGGTTAGATTAGACTGGACATGATTGATAAGGAACTTAGCATCATTTCCGTGAGGGGGCGTTACATATTTTAATACCTGAACAATGAATTTATTTCCAGATACTATCATACTAATGATAAAATTTTCACAAAGAATTACGCGA